GACAGGTCATGGACCCTTGGGGAGCACTGTTCGACAGGTCATGGACCCTTGGGGAGCACTGTTCGACAGGTCATGGACCCTTGGGGAGCACTGTTTGACAGGTCATGGACCCTTGGGAGCACTGTTTGACAGGTCATCGACCCTTGGGGAGCACTGTTCGACAGGTCATGGACCTTGGGGAGCACTGTTTGACAGTACTAGGGAGCATCTACTACTATTTTTCTGATAAGTGGACACAGAAATAGAATAACCCCTGGCTTCTTGCTGTACCTGTAGGCCTACATTACTCAGCCCTCATTGGCCAAGCTGCTTCTGCAGAGGGTGGAAACCAACACAGAGTCCCACAACACACAGAAAATGAGAGTGCTCGGAGTGCCCAGCCCCAAATGGGATGTCTGTGTCATATGCAAGTGCCAGAGGCAGTGAATTACTTCAAAACAATGTTTTCCAAATACAATAATGGTGATGAGTGATGTTGCTCTATATGCTGTGAATGTGTTGCTCTGATTGGTTGATAAATAAAATGCTGGTTGGCCAGTAGCCAGACAGGAAGTATCAGCAGGGCCAGCAGAAGAGGGGAATTCTGGGAAGAGGAAGGCTGAGTCAGGAGATGCCAGCCCGCCGTCCAGGGAGCAGCATGTAATGGCACACAGGTAAAGCCACGGAACATGTGGCGACATATAGATTAACAGAAATGGGCTGAGTTTAAGTGTAAGAGCTAGTCTGTGGTAAGCCTGAGCTAATGGCCAAGCAGTTTTAATTAAGATAAGCCTCTGTGTGCTTACTTGGGTCTGAGTGACTGCAGACCAGGCAGGATACAGGAAAACTTCCAACTACATGATGGAGATGTCCGTGTAAACCCACAGGGACTGTGACGGCAAGTGCAGATCAGCCCAAGCTCAAGCCAGACAAACCACAGGTTGGAAAGGGAAGGCAGACATGAAATCCTACCCCTCACTGGAGAACTGTTGATGTTTAATTGCTGCTGGGAGAGGGAAAGTTAGTTTTCTTCAATGGTGTGACACCTAGTATATAGACCCCACTGTAGCAGGCTTTCTTGGAACACCAGCCCCCAGATCATGACACAGAGACATTATTAATTATACATGCTTTGCTTTAGCTTTGGTTTGTTTCTAGCTGGCTTTTAAACTTAACCCATTTCTATTCATGTAAGTGTTGCCCTAAGGCTCCTTTACCTCATTGACATACTGTCCATCCTGCTTTCCTGCCTCCTCCATGTCTGGCTGGCTGGCTGACTGTCAGGCTCCCCCTTTCTCTCTGCTCACCAGCCCTGCCTATCATTCCTCTGCCTAGTTATTAACCATTCAGCTTTTTCTTAGACCAATTAGGTGCCTTAGACAGGCAAGGTGAAACAAATGCAACACATCTTTACATTGTTAACAATTATACTATTCCACAACACCCCTCTGCAGGGCAAGTACTCACACTAGAGGTAGTCAGCTAACACAAACTGGACCCAGTGGGTATAAAAGGGGAGGATGACAAATATCAACGACATTTTACAACAAATGGTTAAGAAACATGAGTTTGAGTCCTGATCCATCTACCCTTGTCACCAAGTCCATTTTATCTCCATAATCATAGCTGTGTTTAAACCATTTGGTAGTTCAAATGCATGCATGATGGACCAAAGACTGGGGAGAAAATAATGCCTTCACCTTCTGACTGGCTTCATCTTCAGGAGATGATACACATTCTGCAGGTTCCCAGTGTCTTTGGCTTGGTTTTCTCACTTGTAGTGTGTGAATATTAAGCAATGCTCTTCAAATCCATAGACTGTCTGTCCTAGGGTGTACAAAGACAGAGACATGCTAAGACTGGCACATTTTACAATATGCATGTACTTCCCTACCTGAGTGCATGCATAGCACCAAGAATCCATGACAGTCACCTATTTTTAATTAACTAATTAATTAGTTTGTGTGTGTGTGTGTGTGTGTGTGTGTGTGTGTGTGTGTGTGTGTGTGTTTCTCTAGCTCACTCCACCTTATGGTTTGAGACAAGATCTCTCATGGAACCTGAAACTTGCTGACTCAGCTAGACTAGCCGGCCAGCGGGCTCCGGGAATCCCCTGTGAGTGGTTACAGCTGTGTGCTACCATACCAAGCTTTTTACTTGAGTGCTAGGGAGTCAAATTCAGGTCCTCAGGCTTGCATGGCAAGCACTGTGCCATTGCCATCTCCCCACACCCCAAGTTTGTCTTAAGTGTTTATAATCACTAGCATGTACTGAAAAAGGAATTCTTGGTGTCTACAATGTTTCTCTTTCCATTCAAGAGCAGGATTTGCTTATCTGTTGCATCATCCCTTTAGGGGCTTCATGGAAACATGCAGAAGGACTATGGTGCAGTAGAAGAAAACTGGGCAATTCCCATCACCTGGATTCTAGTCCTGGATCCTGCCACTGTTTCATGGGTTACTTAACACATCTTATTTATTTAGGTTTTTTAGAGACAAAATTGTGCTATGTAGCCTGGGTTGGCCTTGAATTCACATTTTCTGGCCTCTGCCTTCTGAGCTCTGAGATTACAGGCACCAGTCACTATGCCCAGCCTCCAGATCATTATTTTTGCTAGATCTCATTTTCCTCCTGTGACTAGGGGTTGAGGCAGACATCGGGGGGGG